ATTTTTGAAAAAGTTACGGCAGTTTTTAGTAAAAAAAATTGAAAAAATTTCGAAAATTAGCGATTTTTAAATTTGTAATTTTTTTGGAGGTTTCCCCCATTTACGGGGAACGAGGGAAATTTTTTCAATTTTGAAGGGTAATGTCTTCGACTAGATACGATTTGTGATCTTTTGACGTATCATTGAAAGAAATCCGTTCGGTGAGAGCTGAGAAAAAGTGGTAACAGACACAAAAAAAAAAAATAAAATAAACACATCATAGTAAAACCAATACCTTCTCAGATTCGCATCGAAGCTAACAATTATCAACCTGTATTTGTAATCCCTTGTGTATTAAACATGTATACTAACTCAAACAAATTTAAATATTTAAATGATTGTACTTAATAATAAACAATAAAAATTTGTTTATGTTGATAAATTATAATATTAAATGATAAATTATTAAATTATAACTATAATATTGATGACACGCACGCATGTACGGGTATGAAAAACAAAAATAAAATGATACAGTAATAGTGTTACCATCGTGGGGGAGCGGGGTGGGGTGAATGCGTTACGATAGTCTAGTCAGGGCCATAGACGACGGGGTACGCGAGAAATAACACGTGGCGAGTGGAGAGATACAGACACACAAATGAAACTAATATAGACTAATATATGTTAAAAAATTAAGACTTGATGCAATACTTTATTAAAAAAAATTTTTTTCTTAGGATTAAATACATTAGTCTACAAGGAACTTTCATCGGAATCTAAAATATACTTTTCTAATCAACTTTTCGCACTGTTTCAAAATCTGAAACTTTTTCTATCACTTCTAAGTTTTGATATTATAACTAATTATTAAAAAATGAGTATTTACATAAAAAAAATAATTAAAAACAAAAAATTGTTTTTAAATTAATACTGATTTTGATTTTTAGTATTTTAAAAATAATCGGTACAAAATGTTAGTTTTAACCTATTTTTTTGATTATTTAAAGTTGGTTTTTTGAAAATATATAATAAAAATAAGTTGAATTTGTTGCCATGACTTTTAGCTCAACTTCCAAGTTTAATATTATCATCATTAAATAGAAAATTTTATAAGAATTAAAAAAATGGTATTGTTAAAATTAATATGCAGTCAGGAAATTTTATAACTACTGTTTACAATAAATTTATTAGAAGAGCTCAATATTTTTTTTTAAATTTTTATTGTAATAGATCACCTAAATAGAAATCATAGTTATCATTTCTAAGTATCTTTTGGTGTTTAAAAAGATTCTACAACTGAAATATTCAGAACTGAATTAAGTTTAATGATTTACTTTAACTAAAAAAACCAAACAAAGAGTTGCTCAAAAAATCTATTTGATTAAGCGTATTACAAAATTATCTGTATAACAACATGTTACCAAAATATTTTGAGTATTATAGACTGGGAGTAACAAACAGATAGGGTTAAAAAATGAATTAATTACAAAGAAAAATGATTTATTTTTGTAGTATTATCTATGAATAATAATGCTTAATTAACTTTCAATCACAGAATTAATAAATCATGACATTCTAAGAATAAAATATATAAGCACTTTAAAAATTATTAAGATTTTTATACCTAGTTGGTATGGAAAGTGCAATCGAGGAATGTCTAATGATTAAAATAATTATACTTGTATCACAGTAATTTACGAAGTACTTGTGCAAATATTATTATTGACCAGTCATTTTCAATATTATTACTTGGTTAAATACGTATGTATATTGCCACTTAAAAAAATAAAGTTGACACCTTTAATGTTTGAACTGAAAAAGTATTTAATAATTGGTAATAAAGAAAAATGTATACATTCAAGAAATTATTTTTAATTTGCAAGTAATTGAGTAGATTGTAATAAACGAATGACACTGTTAAGACAAAATGTTATAATACTTACATTTTATGAAGTAATAAAATAAATTGTAAGTTAATTCCATACAAGTAGGTAAAAATCTTAAAAATAACAATTTTGATCATGTATTGAGATTGTTGTACCCAATATTGTCCTTTTAAGTATGTTTCTATAAATTTAGTATACTGGATTTAGGAATGGGCTATAATAATTATACAATGCAATAACTATTTCAATTATTTGAAATTTTTCAGAAAATACAAAAAACTAAATAATTTTAATACTAATCTTTATGTATAATGTTGTATATTATAAAAAAATAGTTTTTATAGTAGACAGATATGCCCAGTGATAACACCAAACAATTAAATAATGATTCTCTATTAGAAAATATAAAAGTGGATTTTGAAAAAATAAAGATAACTGGTCATTCATTACACTCACTAATTTATTCCAATTTAAATATAGCACTAAATATTTAATTTGTCAACATGAAACTTGTAGGGCAAAAATTATGTATTTATATACTAATAAAAAGTAAAATAAGATGAAATGTAAAAGATATAAATATATTAATTAAAATTATACAATTAAATATTAAGTTTTAATTATCTTCATTAAGGCCATATTTCATCTTTACTTTTTCTAATTCTGCTTTCTTTTTATCTGTGTCCAATTTTTTAAAAGCTTTTGTTGACTGTAAAAATATAGTTTAGTATGATTAAATAATATAAAATAAAACTTAAATTATAATAAAAGTGTTACTTTTAATTAACATTTTTTTAAATTTAAAATTCATTAAACAGTGAATACTTTTTTTATTTTCAATAAATGATATTCAACATTTTTAAACTTTTAAATATTTTATGTCATAACATATCATATTTGTATGATAAAACGTGAAATTACCTGATAATATAAAACAACTAAATATCTATTACAGACATTAAATCCTGATAGATGATCACAAGCATTTTTGGCATCAAAGATATCTTCATATACAACAAAAGCTGTTCCTCTGGTATCAGGCGTATTACCACTAAATAAAAATTATACATTTTAAATTTAACCAATAATAAATAAACATCCTACTATATTTCTTTTACAATTAGTTTAAAAAATTTATAAATAATCTGATGAACAATCTTTTATTATTTTATTATCCCTTATATTTAGATTTATTTAAAAAGAAGCTTTAGACTCTATCCAAAAAGTTATTATACTTATCACTAATAAAATTCAAAATCCTGATATAAATAATAATTAATATTTCTCTTATACATTTTTATTTAATTAATTTATAACAGAAACTAAATATAACAATTTATGACAATTAAAATATGTAATTATATAAACAATAACATTACCGTTACTTTTAAAATCTTACAATTTAAGGAGGATGGCCTGAAGTTTGTCCTATTTGTAAAAGATAATTTAAAAATATTTTTATACTTGATTAACAGGGCATAAAATTCCAAGTTTTTAAAAAATATGAAATTTTTTAGTTTTTTGCATTTTTTAGGTTGCAGATTATATTTAATTGCTACAGCTAATATTATAAATATTGTAAATTTATACAAAAAAGTTATTTTTACAATTTTTTGTTAAGTCAATACTTCATGGTAAAAAATAATTAAACCTTTGCAATATTCTTTTTTTATGGAAATTTCCTATTATTTAGTGTTTTGAATTCGTCTTTTTTTATTTTAACATTACAAACAATTTTTGATTTATTATTTCTTGTAAATAATATTTAAATAAAAAAAGAAACAATATAATTTTGTTAAAGACTAATAAAAATATTGATAAAAATAATCAAAATATTGGCTAAAACTAAGAACACACTTTCTCAAAAAAAAATTAATAATAATAATTATTAATTAATAAAATTCAACTACATTATTAAATTTTTAGCACAATTATTTAGTTATCTTTTTATTTAAAATATTATTAAATAATGTTTTATATCCACAGTATATGTTAAAAAGTATTTATCTTAAAGTTATTATTAATCCATCAAACATTTTTTAAATAAAAGAACTGAAAATTGGTTATTTTGAGAAATCAATTTTTTTTCTTATTAGAAATAACTAATAAAAAATTAAATATAGTCCAAAACTGTGAAAATTATTTTCTTCAAAAGTTATTAAAGGTGTCTAAACTTAGTGGGGTATTCTGTATAAATAGCAACTAACATAATATAGATATATTGATAGATATTATTAGTAAATGTATTTATTTGGTTGCAATACCAATACCTAAAATTAGGATATAAGTTTGATTTATAACTCTTCCTCCATATAACTTAAAAATATTACACGGATCGTAATTTAAGCGCATAAAAAATAATTTAATTGGAATATAACTAGGAGGTATTGGTTTTACTATAATATATTTTAACATAGCAATTCTCAATTCTTACTCACCAATTTAAAGATCTATATGTTTACAGAACCTAAATTTAATCTAGTTTTTGTAATTTCAAAAAATTTAGCTATTAAGAAAAATGTCTTGAAATTGAGAAACTAATAAAATGCAAATTATAATTTTTTTGTTTAATTTTAAAACTGCTTAAATATTTTTAAAAAAATTAATTGATTAATAAAAATTTCATTGATAATATAAGACAATAACTTTTATATTTTTATAATTTTTCTAAAAACTTAAGTCTAGATAAGGTTTTAACGTAACTATATACATAATACACAAAATTAAAATTAAAAAAAAATTTAGTATACTATACTAAATTATAACTTTAAAAAATGTTCTGAAATGTTCGCATTTCTAAGATTTATATCAAATTAAAAAATTAAAGTGAACTTGCACAATAAAAAATTACAATCTATATTGAATTCAACTATACTGGGTCCCTATTATGTTAAGTTTTTTTATTTTAAATATTTTACATTGCTTACAAATTTTATCTGACACATTCATGTTATTAAAAAGTTTTTTTTCTATTAAGCCCATTAAAGGCCATAGAGACCTACTCCGTAGGAGATTTCTTGACTATTAATACTTTGGGATGGATGATTAGTCCATCAAGATAGAAGGATAAACTAACCATCTAAACTCCAATTACCAAACTAATCTTTTGCTTGGCAAATGACCATGCTCATCAACCACTATTTCATTAAAAACTCAGCTTTACCAGCCTTCTATAAACATTGAAAATTTAATGAGTTTTAAAACTTGTGATAATACACAAATGTCAATAAAAAAATATGATTACTTTTCTATAATTTATTAAAAATACACAAGAAAATATGTATGTATAATGAATATTTTTCTTAAATTATTACATATTAATACATAAGTATTCATTTTATAGTTGAGCTCTAGCACAGCAAAGCCTATAATCTTCTTTTTTAATTTATAATTTTTATACATTATAATTTAGATATAGATTTAGATATACTTTCAATTTACATAAATAATGATTTTTTAAAAAAAATAATACCAAAATTTTAATATAAACCAAATCAAATTAAAACAAACTAAAATTGGCTTAGTAGTATGGTTTTTATATCAAAATAATTGGAAAAATATATTTTTTAAGTAAACATAAAGAGTGTATTTTGCTTTCATGTGACTTTTCAGTGGTGTTAACAAGTACTAGAATAAACCCAAATGAACTTTCTGTCTACCTGCTTTATCAACAACTTTTAACTTAATACTTAAAACATTCACTAAAAATTGAAAAAAAAAAAAATAAACTACTAAAATTTCCTATGGATAAATGTATTAAATTGATTTTATTCTAATTATAATTTTATGAAGTATTTTATTATTTTTAGTGTATTTTTTTATAGCACATCTTTTTTTTTTTTGTATTTTGAAATTATTATTATTGTATTTCAAAATTAAACAAAACAGAAGATTGTTGACCTGATTAAATATGATAACTCAATTTTTTGTTTTATGTTTATTAACTTTTTTTAACTTAATTTAATATATAAACATACTAACACTCTAATCTGACGTATGGCTCCATATTTTCCAAAAATATCATACATTTCTTCAGCTGTTATTTTATATGGTAAATTCCGAATATATAAAACTCTATTTATTTCTGGAGGTAATCTCACCTGAAAATAACAGTATTCTTTTAACAAAATATAATATTCAAATTGAGTGTATATTTTATGTAAATTATATATTAAATTGTAAGTTTCTTGTCATGTATTAAAATTAGTTCCTATTTTTTTTATTGCATATGGCATAGTATTGATGTACAAAGACAAATAAAATAAAATAAAATAAACAAAAATAAAAATAATAACAATAACAATATAAAAGTAGGTGTTAGGTATTATAAGAGGATGCTAAGATTAATTAGCCAATCCAATGCTTCCTGTTTGCCTATGTGAAACCCTGATGTTCCTCTAATAAACATTGTTTCTGGGCATTCCTTATCAATATGTCTAATGGTCTAAGTCTGACTACATTTTCAGAGAGATAAGTCCATCATTCCCATTTATACACTAAATAATTGCACCTACCCTGTCTGGTTCTTATGGGGTAAAGTGCAATACATGGGTATTCAAAACCTGGGACTAATTGGGTTTGACCACTTGTGTAATGGTTACTCAGTACCATTCCATCCTTCCAAAACGTGTCCATAAGTCTTCTACTGTACTTATACTATTTTTTAACATCCATACAGGATATCTAGATTTCAGTCTTCTGTTTGGTACATTATACATGTCATCATTAATTGAAAGGCTTGGAGAGTTATGTATTTTCTGTATCATTTTTGAGTTTTGTTGCATATCTATAAACTTCTACGTATGGGATAACTGATAGCCATTGCAACTTAGTTAATTGGACACATTCTGTTATTATTCTTATAGTATAATTAAGTTATACGTCAACATTTTTAGTGTGAGCACTCTATGTCCATACTGAGGGGCAGTATTTTGCAATGCTGTACACTAATGCCAAGCCAGAAATACATAGGGTGTTTGCCCTAAACTCCCAGCTTATTCCGGGTAGTTTGCTAATGATATTACTTTGTGTTTTCATCTTGTTTTTTGCCCTTTATAGGTGTTGTTTAAAAGTTAAAGTTCTGTTAAGTTTAATGGCTAGATAATTTGGTGCTATTTCACTGATATTGTGTCACCAACCACTATTAGGTTTAATTTGCTGCTAGTTTCTCTATTGTTGTTCAGTTGAAAAAGAATGGAGGTTGGCTTACCCGGGTCATTTTGCATTTCAGAATATTTGCTAAGTTTAGGAGTAACCCCCTCTTCCAAATTGTGTCATATGTACAAGTTAAATCTAGAAAATATTTAAAAATCTATTGTTTCCTTTAAGGCAAATAGTATGATGATAAATCTAAAAATAAATAAAATTTGTTATTTTTATTGATCTGACTAAAAGAAAAAAAATATGTTGACAACAATGTATACAAATAGCAGCATTACATTTAAGGTACAAATCACTCAAATCTTTGCCTAAAAAAATTAGAGCTTTAACATGAGAAGAGTAACAAACTGAATAACAAAATGAGCAATGTGAAGAAAAACTAAAACCTTCAACGCCAACAGAAATTGGAAATTAAGAGGACATTGGCGAGTCACAAATTAAAAAGAAAAGGTTACAACTAGCTACTAGTAATAATGGTTTTGAAATAAATGAAAATGATGTAAACTCTAGAAATATTATAATAAATGTAAGTACTACTCTTATACATAGTTTAAGAAAACACATAGTTTAAAAAAAGTTTAGATTTATTGTGAACATTTTAATTTAAAAAAAATTCAAAAAAAAAAAAAAAAAAATTTCATTTTTTATTTTACTCATAATAAATATTTTGTAAATACCTAAACAAAAAAATGTAAGAATTATTTATTATTTATTTATACTTAAATTGTATATTACTTTATTAATAAATAACTTTTAATAAAACAGTTATATACATAAAAGCATAAAAATTAAAAAATTTAACCTCTCCTATCACGTTCTCGCTTATTGTCACTGATTTCCTCATTTCACCTACCTCATGTTCTTCTTTGTCAAAACTCGTACTCTATATACTCTGTCTTACTGTAACTCAGTCTTAAACCATAGTAGACATGAAATATATAGACCAAATTATACTACAAATGAAAAGGTGGAGATAAATAGGAGAGGGGATCAAGGGCATAAGTGTAATGAATTTCTTAGCATTTTAAAAATAAATTTTTAAAGCACTTTATTTTGCAATATTTTATTAAATATTAATCAAAAGTAAAAATTAGACTTTAAATTTAAGTAAAAAATCCATTACAATATTAGATAACAGACTAATATTAATTTTACAATACTAAAAGGCTAAAATGAAAATATTTTGTAGAATTAGTAATTTTTCTTTTAGCTTTTTTTTATGTCTTTTGCCACTTTTTCTCAGCTCTCACTGAATCTAAGAATTACTAATCTGGATATAATTAAGGAAATAGTTGATGTTGCTTTTGTAATTATCCACCAATTTCTAAGAATTAAACATTATATACAGATTTGCATCGAAGCGTTTCTTATGATAGTAATTTTAATCACTGTCAGATTAGATCTATACTGGACCCAACGATGCCACGTCACCACAGTGCCGCGATCCCACTGTGCTGAGTTTTTAAATGTACATTTTGTGAGCATTCTCTATGAAAGAATTATTTTTAATTGCTATTAAAAAACGGATAAATATAATTCTATTTCCTTCAGAAAGCTATTTTTTATATTAATATATGGTTTAAAACATTCTATGTATCTGTAGCTAGGTGCAATTATATTACTTACAAAATTAAAATTATTTATCAAATATTCATTTTATTACATTTATCTTCTTATGATAACTCATAAAAATTATGAAAAAATATGATAGTTGTATATGTTGTTATTAGCCAATAATATATATTTATACCTATAATTTACTAAATATTACCCACATTAAATAACAAAAATAATATATAAAATAACATAGTTAACAGTAGTAATATATTAATAAAATATAAAAATTAGAAACTGTATCAATTTTCTGATAGGAAAAATAAATTACTTAAATTTCAATAATATTTTAATATTTATATTAGTAATACAATTTATTTTATTGTTTAAACATATCTTTTGTTAGATATTGAAAAAAATTAATTAATAATATAAGTATGTACAAGATGTACATTATGACAGCTGCCTATGTATTATAACTTATAATTTATAACTATTATTATAATTATTTCAGTGCTAATTTTCTACTAAATTAAGTTTTAATGGCTTTTAAACTATTAGAGTAAATAATAATACTTACATTAGTTTTTCTTTGCATACTAGCAAGAGCCATTTTAAAATATTTTATTTATATCAAAATCTTGCAATATTTTAACTTAATATATTAGATTTTATTTTACGCAAAAAAAAAAAGGTCAAAATCACTTCTAAACAAAAAAAAATTTTATATACAAATATTAATATTTAACATTTGAATATTACAGGTGGACTGAAAATTGTTTTAGACCGCATAATGTACTGAATGGTTAGTAATCATATCGTTCATAACATGATTATAGATAAGACATATTACTCAAAGAAACGTATTTTGTATAATCAAAGAGACATCAGCAATTCTCGTTCAAGTTATACATTTAGCGCTTCTAGCGAGAATTTACTAAAATATTCAGTTATCTGCTTAGTGCAGTACTTGATATTATAATTTTTTTGTGCTTGTTGAAGGGATCATTATTGATAATGCAATATTTTTGTATTGATATGAATTTTAAGTGTTACAACAATCTAATTGTGTAATGATGAGTCTAGCAAACAAAAAATGAAACAAGTTTTTATGCTATATATTTTAGCACTTATATTTAAGGGAATAACATGGAACTCAATATCCACTTGAACGGAGTAAAAGTAAACCATAATTTTACACTGAAGTAGAGAGTTTGAGAGTAACATTGGATCGATCATTTAGGAACCTTATTGAGAAACTACAGAAACTTCAAACGAGAGTTAACCTAGTACAGGAACTAGCTGGAATTGGATGGGGGGACAGTTGCTACTACTCAGAGAACGACAACAATCGCGTTAGTTTATTCTACAGTGGAATATGGAGCTCCAGTCTGGTTGAATAGCGCTTACTCGTGAAAGATGGATACGCATTTAAACAGTGCTATACGGTTAATAAGCGGAGTAGTACAATCAATGCCAATACCATGGCTGCCAGTTCTTTCAAACATCGCAACACCAGAAATCAGAAGAAATGAAGTATTAGTGAGACTATTTATTAAGACCGATGCCTATAGAAACTTAATCCTCTACAAATACTTAGAAAATGTGCCTGATACAGATAAGACTACAGTCAAGGAAATCAACATGGGTCAAGGCAAGAGAACTAATACATACAGTAGCAGTTCTGCAGTGCTAAAAAATGGCAGGAGGAATGGTTGAGCAATACGGCATTACATAAAAATTTGATTAAGGATTCTACACAAAAAGTTAAAGGGTTTGAACTCCCACGACAAGAATGGGTGATTCTTAACCGTTTAAGAATTGGACACGGAAGATGTGGACATATGATGTTTAAGTGGAAATTAAAGGATAGCCTAGAATGTGGTTGTGGAAATGACAGCCAGACTATGAGACATATTACAGACAAATGCCCGAATAAAAGGTTGAGTCGGGCAATAATAGGATTAATGAAGTTACAAAGAAACTATTTCAATGGATAAAGGCTTTGGACAAAGAAATTTAGATTTGACTAAATACTATATAATGTACTGTTATTAGTATCACTTATAATTTTTTATTTTACTATAAAGAAAATAAAGAAATGTGTTTGTATTTTAAATGTTACTATGTTATAGTTGCAATACGAATATAAATACACCTTAAATGGTGATATCTTTAGACTATTTTCCTCTTACTTTTTCATGTTTATAGACTTCTCTTTCGTCTTCCTTTATTCCTAACCTATCATACTATCCTAACTCATCATACCTCTTAAACACTATCCTTTGCAGTATTTTTTTACACGACAAACAAATCTATTCCACACATTTATGTCTCCCTCGACATTCCAGACCGTTCTCTCTTTAACCGTCTTTAAAAACTCTTACATTTTCCTCTTTCGATTTCCACCACCGGGTTCACGATTTTCCTCCTATGTTCTTCCTGTTTTTGTATATTTTCTTCCTACTACTTCAATACTCCATTACCATCAGTCTGTGTTGTGAAGTTATACTCTCGCCCGGGATAATTTAATAATTTTTTACTTGCTTTACCCTCTCTCTTCCACCTAAAATAATCAATTAATATTCTTCCCTTTTTCTAAAACAAGTATTAAATACAGCAACATTATACGATACTGCAAAATCCAGGATTCTTCTCAAGACTCATTCTTCTCATTAAAACCATATCCTTTATGTACTCTTTCATATCCTCTCTTCTCATTACCTGCATGTCCATTCATATATTCAACTGTCACCGCATTTCCATTACCAGATATTCCTTGCATCACCTCATCCATCTCTCTCCAAAACATTTCCATGACTATTTCATTACATTCTACTTGCTGTGCATAGGCACTTATTACATTCAANAATTCTCGTTCAAGTTATACATTTAGCGCTTCTAGCGAGAATTTACTAAAATATTCAGTTATCTGCTTAGTGCAGTACTTGATATTATAATTTTTTTGTGCTTGTTGAAGGGATCATTATTGATAATGCAATATTTTTGTATTGATATGAATTTTAAGTGTTACAACAATCTAATTGTGTAATGATGAGTCTAGCAAACAAAAAATGAAACAAGTTTTTATGCTATATATTTTAGCACTTATATTTAAGGGAATAACATGGAACTCAATATCCACTTGAACGGAGTAAAAGTAAACCATAATTTTACACTGAAGTAGAGAGTTTGAGAGTAACATTGGATCGATCATTTAGGAACCTTATTGAGAAACTACAGAAACTTCAAACGAGAGTTAACCTAGTACAGGAACTAGCTGGAATTGGATGGGGGGACAGTTGCTACTACTCAGAGAACGACAACAATCGCGTTAGTTTATTCTACAGTGGAATATGGAGCTCCAGTCTGGTTGAATAGCGCTTACTCGTGAAAGATGGATACGCATTTAAACAGTGCTATACGGTTAATAAGCGGAGTAGTACAATCAATGCCAATACCATGGCTGCCAGTTCTTTCAAACATCGCAACACCAGAAATCAGAAGAAATGAAGTATTAGTGAGACTATTTATTAAGACCGATGCCTATAGAAACTTAATCCTCTACAAATACTTAGAAAATGTGCCTGATACAGATAAGACTACAGTCAAGGAAATCAACATGGGTCAAGGCAAGAGAACTAATACATACAGTAGCAGTTCTGCAGTGCTAAAAAATGGCAGGAGGAATGGTTGAGCAATACGGCATTACATAAAAATTTGATTAAGGATTCTACACAAAAAGTTAAAGGGTTTGAACTCCCACGACAAGAATGGGTGATTCTTAACCGTTTAAGAATTGGACACGGAAGATGTGGACATATGATGTTTAAGTGGAAATTAAAGGATAGCCTAGAATGTGGTTGTGGAAATGACAGCCAGACTATGAGACATATTACAGACAAATGCCCGAATAAAAGGTTGAGTCGGGCAATAATAGGATTAATGAAGTTACAAAGAAACTATTTCAATGGATAAAGGCTTTGGACAAAGAAATTTAGATTTGACTAAATACTATATAATGTACTGTTATTAGTATCACTTATAATTTTTTATTTTACTATAAAGAAAATAAAGAAATGTGTTTGTATTTTAAATGTTACTATGTTATAGTTGCAATACGAATATAAATACACCTTAAATGGTGATATCTTTAGACTATTTTCCTCTTACTTTTTCATGTTTATAGACTTCTCTTTCGTCTTCCTTTATTCCTAACCTATCATACTATCCTAACTCATCATACCTCTTAAACACTATCCTTTGCAGTATTTTTTTACACGACAAACAAATCTATTCCACACATTTATGTCTCCCTCGACATTCCAGACCGTTCTCTCTTTAACCGTCTTTAAAAACTCTTACATTTTCCTCTTTCGATTTCCACCACCGGGTTCACGATTTTCCTCCTATGTTCTTCCTGTTTTTGTATATTTTCTTCCTACTACTTCAATACTCCATTACCATCAGTCTGTGTTGTGAAGTTATACTCTCGCCCGGGATAATTTAATAATTTTTTACTTGCTTTACCCTCTCTCTTCCACCTAAAATAATCAATTAATATTCTTCCCTTTTTCTAAAACAAGTATTAAATACAGCAACATTATACGATACTGCAAAATCCAGGATTCTTCTCAAGACTCATTCTTCTCATTAAAACCATATCCTTTATGTACTCTTTCATATCCTCTCTTCTCATTACCTGCATGTCCATTCATATATTCAACTGTCACCGCATTTCCATTACCAGATATTCCTTGCATCACCTCATCCATCTCTCTCCAAAACATTTCCATGACTATTTCATTACATTCTACTTGCTGTGCATAGGCACTTATTACATTCAATACTTTTTCCTTGAAAATTAATTTTACGATTATAAATCTGACACTATTCCTATCTCATATCACTTTTTCTATATCAGTTCTGATTAACACTCTTCATACTTTTTTATAAAATTTTACACCGGCTGTTCACCTGACGCAACCTCATTAGTCGCCTCTAAATGATTCATTATAAAAAAAAATTCCTAAGAAAACAAGTGAGTATTTTTTTAAACTGTTTTTAGTGTCGATTTTAATAGTACAAACATTTGAACTCTAGTAAATAAATAATACACTTCATGGTAAAATTAATATTTTCTCAGCTTCGCATCAAAGTCAAAAAGTTATTAGTAAAAGTAATGATTCAATTATAAAATAAATACAATTTTCGGCTTAAAATACTATTCGATTAAAATACAGTACAGTTGAAATACTAATCGACTAAAATACGATCAATTTTTTTTGGTAAAATACGGTTTGATAGTAATATCACAGATAAGATTAATCTTTATATTTTCTGTGGTAAAATTTCGGCTATTCTACACATTCCTATCCTGGTACGTTATTACTTATTTGTCTTGAACAATGTATTAACTGTAATAAGTAGATAGCGCCACAAAATGTCGACATAATTTATTATTTAATTCACGGCCTTTATATACCTTATCATTTATTTTTTGAGAAGCTTAATACATAGTAAACATGTATTTACATATAACTATATCAATAATTATCAAAGATAGAAAACGCTGAACGTATTTAGTTAAAATTTATTAAATATCAGAGAATCACTTCTGTTAATATAATATTATTTATAAATCACTTTTTATCAACTATAATTATCCTTGCAAGGTAATTGACAATTAGGTTATATCACTAAATTCAAATATGTCAGACACCGCAGGATGGTGTCTCATAGAAAGCGATCCAGGAGTATTCACCGAACTAATCCGTGAATTAGGTAAACTAGTATTCACTCTATTATGACTTTTACTAATTACTTTAAAAATAATTATTTTTAGGTGTAACTGGAGCTCAAGTTGAAGAATTATGGACATTGGATAATAGCTTATTTGATTCTATTAAGTAAGTATGCCTAAAATATAGTTTTTAAAATTGTAAATATTTTATATTATATTGATTGTGTTTTATCATTTACACTGTTTCTTCTTACATTTAAGAGTTAATTTAATCATTATATATTTAATTGTTTGATAATTTCTAAAAATTGAATTATAATATAAACTAAGTGTTTATAACAAATGTAAACTTTATACAGAGTGAAACAGATTTAACTGTTATATTACTAATATGTTTGTTAAAATATATTTAAGGCACTTAAAAACATGTTTTTTAACTACAGCAAATACATTGTAGAAAAATACCTATAGAATAACCATATAAAATTATTATATTTATAATTTTAAATAATATTAGTTACAAGTTATCAATTCTATTATAGTAAGTTCTGTATTCAAAAATACGAGTTTTAAAATATTAACCTTAGTAAATTAACAATTTTCTTTCATATTTTGTAAAACCAATCATTCGTATCTTTATGATATTAGGTTAGTAATTAATAAAACTTAATTTTATGATAATCAAATTCAATCAACTCTTTCTATGTAATTCACTATGTTTTTACAGTTCAAATATTTTAATACATTAAAGTACACTAGTCTGTGATCAAAAATATAATATTAAAAAAAAGAAATAATTAAGATTTCAATTTTAATTTTTATATTAACAAATTGATAGTTTGAACTATATTAACAAATTAAAAATTTCTACATGATGTAAAAAGATAAGTTAAAGTTGATTTGAGACTTAATGTGTTAACGTATCATGTATTTTTTTTCAAAATTAATCTTTTAATAACATTATTTAATCGTAAAACTAATCATTAGTGTAATATTTTCATTGTTTACGTCCCCTGATTAATGTTTTTACAAATATGTAATAAAAAATTAGTGATAACACATTTTTAATAACTCTGGTTAAGTGCGTCAACTTTAATTTTAATATTATTTCTGAAAATTTAAAACAATAAAAAATATTATTTATAACATTTTTTTTTATCTTCAAACTTTTAGTGTATATAAAGAATTTTTAAAAAATCTATTTTAAAATAATAATAAAAATAAGATTTATAAAATTTTAGGCCTGTTCATGGTTTAATATTTTTGTTTCGATGGATTGGGGATGATCAACCAGATGGACCAATTGTAAAAGATTCAAGAATAGATAAAATTTTTTTTGCTCAACAGGTAAGACTTAAATAATAGAATATTTTTATTAAATTATGTCTCAATTACAAAATCATAATGAATACAAAAAATCCATAAAATTTTATCTAGGCTTTAAAAACATAATTTTTAAAAAATTACATTTTATTTTTTAAATTAAATTATTATAATTATAATCATTGTAATTTAGATTATCATAAAATATTTTGCTTAGGTCCATTGATGTATCTATGTATACAATTATTAAAGAATAATATTCTTTTAAATAGTATTTCAATGAAATATTATTTTTGAAATAACTAATAACATTTTATGAATTTTGAATTCATAAAAACATAAAAAATTTATTTTTAATATTTTAAAAAGACCTTGACAAAATTTATCATTTCTTAATAATTAAAACTGTTGGTGTAATGGAACAAAATGTAATTTTTGAAAAAGTAATATATAAATCCCTAATTTGATTAATCAGTTAAACAAAACAACAAATTTGAATGAAAAAAATTTCTTTTTTAGGTTATAAATAATGCATGTGCAACTCAAGCTATTTTGAGTGTTTTACTTAATTGTCGTCATCCAAGTATTGATCTTGGTAGCACTTTAAATGAGTTTAAAGAATTTTCTCAAAAGTTTGATGCTAATATGAAAGGTCTAACATTGAGTAATTCACAAAAAATACGTTCTGTTCACAATTCATTTGGAAGGTATTACATTTTATTACTCATTTTTTCATATCCCATATATGTATATTTTTATTAATAACATAATTTATATTGTAGAAGTGGTTCTATTTTTGAATTTGATGATAGTGCTAAACCTAAATCTAAAGAAGATGAGGCTTATCATTTTGTAGCTATTGTACCAATTGATGGTCGCCTCTATGAATTAGATGGTTTAAAAGAAGGTCCTATTGATTTAGGGCCAATAAAGCCTAATACTGATTGGATTGAAGTTGCAAAACCTTTTATTGAAAAAAGAATAAATAAGTAACTAGTTAATTATTTTACTAAGTTTTGTATGATTTCTTTTTAAATAAAGTATTTTATTTAAAGGTATAAAGAAGGAGAAGTACATTTCAACTTAATGGCTGTTGTATCTGATAGGAAATTAATATTGGAACAAAGACTGATAGCATTACAAACTGAAGACTTGGTAAAAAAATTTAACTTAATTTTTACTAATATTTCACTTAAAAACTGTATTTATTAGGATGAAGAAACTAAAATGGCCGAAGAAAATAATATTCGTATGCAAATAGCTGATGAAGAAGATAAAATGAAACGTTATAGAATAGAAAATGCTAGGCGTAAACATAATTACTTACCATTGATTGTTGAAATATTAAAATTACTAGCTAAAGATGGCAAGTTAGTACCATTATATGAAAGAGCTAAAGCTAAAACTATTGAAAAAGAGAAACAGAAAATGAGTAAAACATGAATGTTAAATTAATTATGCTAAAATCATATCAAAATAATTTCATAATACATTTAAACTACTATAATGTTGCACCCGATCTAAAATTTTTAATTTAATCTCCTTTTACTTAATTTTTAAAGCTGTAACATTACTATATAATTTTCTTTAATTGTTCTTTTGTGATAATTAGAATTTATGGCTAAGAATTATATAGGCTAAAATAGTTTAAAAAAATAAAACAAGGTATTAAAAACACAAGTTTATTATACAAAAATATATTAATTGATTACTTTAAATTTTAGTTTTCATTTTTTTACCATTTTTTTCATAATTTATACTTGAACTTCTTTTTTTCCTATCTATTTCTTTCTTTGCTTCATCTTGTAATCTTGAAAAAAATTCTTTTGATGATTTCATACTTTTATCATCAATAGCTTTTAACTAAAAAAATTATAACATGCATACATGTATTTTAAATATATTTTGGAGTAATTAATGATTTATATATGTTTTAATACTCTAAATAAGTTAAGTAATTTTTACAAAACCTCTCCTAAATGAAGCTCTAATTGCTCTTAAAATTTTACAATTTTACAAACAAATTTACTCTTCACTAAATTACCCAAAATTACTCTTAAATTCAAAAACATTATTTAATCAAGATTTATCATAATGTAACATTAAAACAAAAAATAACTCACTTGTTTTACTTGGCGTCCATCATTTTTAATAAGTTTCAGTTGCTTAAAATTTTCTTTGTTTTTAAATTTTATTCCTGTTTTTTCTAAATCTTTATCTTTAGCATCCTTTATCAAACGTTTTTTATGTTGTAATAGTTTTTTCTTTCGTCTTTCACGTTTTTTATCTGTGTCTGTGCGCTCTTCTTTACCAAGTATGGGTGCTTTATATTTATCTAAAAATTATCACTATCTTAAATTAATCAGATTAAATTTCACTTTACAAAGAAACATAAGATTAATTAGCCATTCGCCACTGTATAAATGTATTTTGTTAATTTATTGTTATAATGAGCTATTCATCATTTGTTATTTTTTTGGGGGGAAAAATTTCTACATAATTTTCATTATACTCGATACAAAATTAAATTAATTAAAACAAAAAAAATTGTTTTCAAAAATTTTAAATCGCCCTTTAAATATTTTATAACAATATTAAATACATAAAATTATATTTTTATTTATGAATTTATACTTTGAATTTCCTCTGGAGCTAATAATGTTGCTTCTGTAGTAGTAGTAGGAGCTACTTCCTCCATTGATATTGCTGGAAGATTATTGACAATTTTTAATTCAGGAATGGCCTAAATAAATATTTTTTTATTATTAAATATTCTTTATTTTTATCATATTTTAAATAAAACTTTATTAAAAGGTTATTTAAATATTATCATAATAAGATTTGCCAAAATGGGTCTTTGTATTTTAAACAGAAAACAGTTATATACATGGTAAATATGTATGTCATAGGTACAATTTAATTCTATTATCAAAAGTATCTACTCAACGTTATTTTCCAAAGTCATTAAATTAAAAACAATAAAAAACGTTGTTATGTTATAAGGCTATCTTAATTGGCGCCAAATCCTATATTTATGTATTGCAGATCCAATATTATTAATAGACAGTAACTATCTAAACTTAAGAATCAATAAATGTATATGTTTAAAATTAATACAACATTGAAATTACCATTACAGATAGAATGGTTACACAATCTTACAGTAATCTGCAATCAATCTGACAGAATAACTAAGTAAAATTCACCATATATTTTTAATTTTCTTATGATATTTAGCAGGTTTATCATCAACAATATTTAAAAAAACATTTATTACCTGTTTTGGAGTATAATGATAATTTGTCAGTGCATCCAATTTTTTAAATAATTCTTTTATCATCAAATCAATTTCTTTATGTTCCTTAGGTTCTTCATCAAGTTTATTTTTATTCTCTGGATTAGCTGCCTCTCTCTGATTAATGAATTCCTAACAATAAAAAAATTAATAATATTGATTACATTTGAAAATTCACCATTAAAGTCAACCATTATAATCACAAAATTATAATGTGCTAATTCAGCATAAATGAATAGTGCGCTATTACGGACAGTCACCATTAATGTGTACAAAATAAAATAAATTCTTTCTTAGTTTCACAATGAAACTATATAACATGACCACATGCTAGTTTTTTAAATGTTGTGTCACAGTCTAAAGTCTAAACCCAACCAAGTTAATGACAATTTATAGTTATGGTCGAGAAATGAGACGCGGATATTATTATTTATATCATTAGATACTTCGAGAACACACTTCTCCTTCCAAAGTTAAAAGGAATAGTTTCATAGAGCACTATTTGACCTTCAACTGACTTCAAGCTCGTTTTGAAGACAAAATTACTCTAGTTCTAAAAAACTTACATTACACTTTGACACGACTTACGTCGCAATAAAATAGTCGATTTTGGGTTAAATGGTAAAGACCTGTGGTTCGTTTATTGTTGATTAACAACAACAAATAGTTTTATAAAGAACCCAAAAGACAAACACAATTAATTAAAATCGTCGCATAATGTTGCGGCACTTTTGCTGGCGACGGCAACACGTCCGGAGACGGTGGACGTCGTCACTTTGACTCTATCATTTGCGGCGAGTCGTTGACGGGCGTGCGGGACTTTACATCATGGCGTATGGCACAGAGTGTTGGTCAGTCAAACTACCAAATACCTAAAGTATAGGGCGACGGTTGATAGAGGTGGCGCGGGTCAGTGTGATCACGAAGCGACGCGACACAGTGTCAACTTACATTAATCCAGTTCAGGAACGTCTTCATTAAGTCATCTCGTTAGTTACAAAGATTTAATGAAACCGTTTATAACTAACTTAGAAATATACCTAACCTTAGCTTTATAATGACGTAAATGATTTTACAAAATTGGCCATTTGAATAACTAATATAGGGGAATGGGTAAGTTGATGCTTGGGGTAAAATAATCTCTTTGGGTTTAAAAAAAATATAGTAGTAATGTTTGCGAACTAGTATTTTAAAATACTTAAATCAAACACGAAACAATTTTTCAAAAAATAAAATAAAATTTATACTTATGTTTGTTTTAGATTTCACTTATACTTTTTTTTGCAAAAACGACATATGTTCTTGTTTTACGGCGTGAGGTTTTAATTTGAGCGTGATAAAATAAATGCATTTTTTATTAATAGCTAAATAATTTTATTTTTAATTTAATATTAATATTAAAATATTAATTTTATTAATACTTTTATTTAATAGCTAAAGAAAAATATCACTTAATAAGTCATCAGATCGATTACTCGTTTTAAATATTTTTACACTCAATTTTTCTTTTTTTTAATTACTTCATAGACCAATTAAAAATTGCATAATACATCCAAAGTTTCTTAAGGAGGCAAGAGGGAGCTTTCTCTTAATTAAAGAATACATAGATCATTACTTATTTTACGCTTTAATTTAAATTTAACTATAGTATTTTAACTTAATGCATTATTAAAGTCATTTTGTCTCATATCTAAGAGATAATGATAAATTTCACTTTTCTTTCCTAATAATTTATAACTATTAAAATAATAAATATTAATTAATGAGCTTTTTATCAATTTGGTCTGAATATATCAACTAATATTTTTACCAAGTTTCAAGTTATTATGATGAATAATTTCTTTAATAGATCTAATTAAATCCTTTAAGTTTCAATTTGCCTTACTCACACTTGATTTAACCTTAATATTAATGGAATTTAAAGCATCTATGAAATACTATTATTTCACAATTGTATGAAATATTTAAATCACAAGCTACATATGAAGTAAATAAAAAAAATCAACTGTACTTAATTATTAAATGTGGAGTATTAGTTTAATTTTTTTTTACATGTAGCAGTAAATAAAATATTTTATTTAAAATTACCAAAATATCTTTAAATTTCTAAAAATTATGTTAATTATGCTTAGTTACCTTTTCATAAATTTGCGATAAACTTTCTTTACTTTTTTCTTGGTTTAAAATAAGCTGTTTTTTAAATTCATGTGGCGCCTTTGTTGGTTTAATTTTTCTCTCCACATCATCCCATGACTTATCTTTGATACGTTGTCTAATAATATCTTCCAATTTCAATGTAGTTTCCTCAGTTATAATTGGGGCTAATAATTATACACTCATAATTATATATAAATTGTATTTTTGCTTATTTTTAAGTGGGTAATCCCAAAAAAAAGACCTCCTAATATTTAATAAATTTACACAATACTGTGTTTCTTTCATCTGTACATCACATTATCAACCTATATGTACGTATATCAGAATTTGAATCAAAATGTATGGTGGCCTAGTGGTTAGATATGTCTTTATGACACCTTGGTTCATGGATTCTAATCTCGTACTTAAATATTTAATCTGTTTTAAATTAAACAATTAATGAAACTAAACAAAACCAAGACAATTTTATTCAAAATTTTTATTTTAGGAGAAATTTATTATCCAACAAACAATTAATTACCCTATACATCAAAGCTGATAATTTTAGCCATTTTTCAACATTACCATTAAGTTAGTCAATGCATTTTTGAAAATATGAATACAAATTTTGTATGTCTATTAGGGTGGATTAGTTATAGTAGAATTTTATTTTTTGAAACTCAACTTTCTTATCCCCTAAAATTATTTTTCCATAGAAAAAATAAGTTTTACAAAAATTTGGATAAGATCGAATTTTTACTGAACACAACCGCTTTTTAGAAATATATATATATATATATAACTAACCGTTTAGCATACAACAAAATGTGTTACACAACATTTAATCATAATTGAATTTCCAATAACTTATATATAAAAAAAAAATTTTGTAACTCCAACATTTTTTTTGATACTTCGAACTTGGTAAATAATTCTAAGGATTTTACTAGTTGCAATAAAAAAGTATTATAGCTTCTTAGTCAAGAAATTTACAGAAACCAGATGAGATCTATCTAGTTGGACATATTAACAATCAAATAGTTGGAAGTAGGTTACTATCCAATAGACAGGTAGTAAGTGTACTTTTAAAAAATTTATGACATGTGCAGTTAAAATTATGTGAATTTTAAATTGGTTATAAAAGAAACATGCTTATTTTGGCAAAAGCTAAAATTCCATGCCGAGATGAACAACATTGTATATTAAAAGTAAATAAATTGTATGATACTTTGAGACAACTTCAAAAATCACCTAAAATTTAAATAAAATTGAAAAAAAATAGTAAATTTAATGTAGAGCTTGACGATTTGTTCAATATATCCTACTCAAATAAGTTTGAATTGATTTCTATTGAGGAAGATAAATAATTTTTGACTATATAAAGAGAGAAAGGTAGACAAAGCTTTGTTGGTCACTGATGGTAAATTATTTAAAATAAAACCCGTGCGTGCTACAAGGACGTGCGGATGAAGTGAAATTTCTTTTGTTAAAAAGATATAGCGTAAAAATTGTATCTATTGTGATTCTTTAAAATTTTTTTATGTACAATCAAAATTATTTTAAATTAAATTCTTTAATATATTTTAAATAAAATTACTTTAATTTTTAAACATTGATAATGTTCTACGTAAATTGTTGCAGAAGACAGTCATTGAATGACAAGACATTAACATGATTGTAATACTTTAAAATATAAACACATATTACTTTAATCGTTTAGACTTGGTAACTTTAAAATTAGGTACATATTTTATAAAGCAAACAAATATTATTATTTGTAATATAAGAGGTAATTTTACTTTGGGTATACCCTTGTAAATTGTTCTTACCTGGACGAGTACAAACATCAAATTCAACAGCTTCTTCTAATAACGAATTTTGAGGACGATCTTTGGCAGACACTTCTCCTTTTAAACCCCATGGTCGTTCAGATATTGCTTCTTCTTCTAATTTTGCAATTCTTTCTTTTATTCTTTTCGATCGTTTTTCCATGCTTGATAAAACATTTGAGCCCGAGTTCAATTCAATATTATTTTCATTACAGTTATCTTCATTATCTGTTTCAAATCGAACCATTTTTTTACTGGCATTACTTTTATTTGACTTGATTACATTGTTTTCAAAAAAATCATTATACATTGGTCCATAATTTTCATTAACCTTAAAAAATTGTTTAAAAAAGTATATAAATCACAAGTAAACACTATTTAAGCTTGAAAATATTTAATTATTAAAATAGTTATCTGTAATAATGCAAATAGATAGTTTGATTAAAACCATAATATAAAGAGTACTATTTTCATACATATGTTATATAATTATTGTTTAAAACAGGTTCAGAAATTTGTATTTATATAGTTCAGAAGATTGAAAAAAAATACATATATCTCTGGGCATTTTTTTAAAGTTGATATGTCAATTAAGGCAATTTTTCAGGAGAGCTAAAACAAATTAAAAATTTCAATGGCATCTTATAAAATAGATATTTTTTAGATGCAAAAACATATCTTAACAATATAATAGGTAGATGACAGAGAACTCAAACCATTATAATTTCAAAAACAAATTTTTAGGACATTAGTTTTTGGTTATATTGTACTGAGTGTAAGAGGGCCTTATCTCAAAAAAAAGTATTATTGAAATAAACAATTTCAAAAGTTCAACCTTTCATAAGAGTTAAATTGTGTGCTTTTTTGTCCTTAGTATTTATATTAAGTTCAAGTCAAATTTTATAAAAAATTTCATGTATAATAATAAATTATATAAGAATGTCAAATATGACAAATTTTGATATATAGTGCTCTTGAATTTATTATAGTGCAATATATTAGTTGTTCAATTTATTTGTAATATAAATTGTATATATATAATTATATTATGAAGAAGAAATATGAAAATAAAATATTGGCCTGTCATTAATTTTCATAAATTATTCTCAACCCTTGGTTTATACTAAAAATAACTTTCTATATTTCCCCCCCCTTTTTTTTATGTAGCTTAAAAATTAGTATAGGCCAAAAATATTGAGTTCCATAGAATATCTATATTGGGACAAAAGTTCAATATATCGTAATATTAGAAATATCTTAATTTAAAATTAATTTTTAAATTTCATATCACTAAGAATAGAAATTTGGTATACTGTTCCCTTGTACAAAAATTTGAATTTTGTATAAGAACCCATGAATGATTTATTATTTCAAGAACATAAATAAATCAATTTAATAAATTTCAAGTAATCATAAAAATTTATGACATTTAGATGATTTACCGAAAATATTTTATAATTCCCTGACTTTTTTTTTCTAGATTTATTGTAATTTTTCAATTTATATTTTTTTTTAATTTATCAACTATAATTTACTTTTAACCCTTAAACAGTCGCGTAGGGGTCTAGCATACCCCCACATAAATAAAAACGGATGTATTATATTGCATAAAAGGTGTACATAGATATAAATTTAGAAGATGGTTTTTATAGTAATATTGAATCGATTTTCATAAATAAATACCTTCGAAAAAAAAATGTATGACTTAAAATACCCATCACCCGCAGGGGAATCCGCAAGGATTACGGGCCTAACAACCCCGTGGACCCTAGTTATTTCAGTGGGGGTGGCAACACGTACCACTGCTCTTAGCCGGTCATGACTTTAGTTAGTTGGGACCGGTAGGCCTGGGCATACCTGCTTGCTAACAGCGAATAGGCCCCCCTAACCCAGCCATACCAAGTGAAAGGGTTGCTAACTTGTCACAGGGTAGTTAGCCGAAAGGTAAAGTGACCATTGGGATCCTCTATGGCACCTGGCGCACCATAGAGTATACAGCCTTATCACAGTATCGAGCTCTGCTGTGACGGACCTTTATTTCTCGTGGGAACTATATGGATAAAAACATAGAAAAACCACAAAAAAACGAACTTGTGACGATCAGGGATCCTATGGACAACCTGTCGGAACAAGATCGTGAACTGGCGACTCTTCACAGAAGAATCGCCAAACTTGAAGGTCTCAATGCCAACAACGGGACACTTGGTGAACCGTCCAAAGAGATAGCAACGTCAGCAAATGTAGACCAGGAATCGCAAGATCAACTGAGAGCAGTAGCTGACAAAATCGAGGGTCTAAAACTTAGATTTGAGAAACTGAGCGGCAGTCAGAGGCGCAAGCTGAAGAGGAGCCGAGCAATCATAGAGGGACAGAAGAACCTACCAAAGGAGGGAGACAAGGGAACCGATGAATTTATAAAGTCAAAGGGAACCGAAGCTCAAAAACCTGAGGACAAGGGTCAAGAACCTCCATGTAAGAAAACTCATTGGGTACCGACCTACAGGGACGTGGTAACCGATGATAAAAAAGTGGCTCTGGTCCTTGCAGGCTACCCCACTAACAAGTTGACCACAGAGCAGGGGCTACTCATTGAGTCT